GGGAACATAGTTGTGAAGATAATGTGGTAAAAACCTTTTGACATGTGAAGTGTCTGAAGTCATGTATCTGAAGTATGTAGGGCAGTCTGTCTGTGCTTTATCCCTAAGCAATAAACAGAAAAGCTAAGACGCTCAAGTTTTAGGAGGATGTTTCCTGTTCATATGCGACTCTAGAAGTTTATAATGGGTCTTCACATACACCTGCTTTTTCTGCACAGAAAAGTGAAAGTTTTGTTGGAAGATTTTTGAATTCCGGCACAAAGCAAGACAGAGAGTTAAAATTTTATTAGGACGTTCCCTGTCTCTGTGTGATCTCGGAATTTTAAATTCAGCTTTCAGTTACAACTATGGAAATTGAAATTTTACAACTGAAATTTTATTATGGAAATTTTTTAGCTCGAATACCAAAAACTGCCCTCCTCCCTCACCTTGCAATTCGGATGATGAATCATCGAGACAGACGCACAGGCATGACCGCTACCGTGCATTTCTGTTACATTAGCAGTGGAAAAACCAAATAAAATAAATTGTGGCGCTAGCAAGGATAGCTGGCACGAACAAAAGTTTTGTGTAATTTTGTCTAGCTGACGTTTGCTGTTAAAAATTTTCATTGCATTGTTGTTTGGCATATGTAGAAATCGTTCGAATATTTTGTTCGAACAAAAGTTACGTTCTTCTTTACCTGCGAACGTGGAAGCTGAATTTAAAAGCCCCGAAGCCGCACCTGGACAGGAACATCGCGCAGAAATTTCACTTCTCGCCTGGTCTCGTCCTATGGTCGTGAAATTACCCGAAAAAGTACAGGGTGTACGTACATGAAATGCAGACGGACGTGAAAAGTTTTTGTGTCGCGCATGGACACGTAATGTCCTCCTTGACGTTCAGTTTCCAGTTTTTCTGGTTTCCGAGTTAGCAAATTTTCGGTCCAAATCTCACATGTCCGTGCATTAGACCCAAGGGCACGTGACAGTTGTGTGTGAAAACTTTTAGTTGCAAATAAGCATTGAACATCTTGCAAAATTTCAGTATTCAAACCTTTCTGACTTCCGAGTTAATAGTTTCCGTGTCAAAACTTTCAAGTGACCGTACTTGAGACCTAACTATAAGTGAAAGCTAAATTAGGTCGCACGAGAAAATGGG